AGTCACCATCATTATCATCACAATCACATCACCATCACCGCCATCATCACCGCCATCACCATCATTATCATCACAATCACCATAACAATCACAATCATCACCATCACATAGAGCTGGGCGATAGAACGATAACGATATGTATCGCGATATAACTTTTACTCGATAGAGAAATTAAGCTATCGCGATAGACCTCGCCGCTCTTGTCCTCTTAAAAAAAAAAAAAAAAAAAAAGGTCAGCCAATCCAAATTAAGTAGCGCAGAGCCGAACCAATCACAGCCGCAGCGTCACGTCGCGTGACTTGTTACGTACAGCACAAGTGCCAAGCCACACGTGTGTTTATTTGGGAAGCAGCCAGTGCGTAATGGAGGAAGTGAGTGTGCCGACTAAAAAAATCAACCGAGCGTGACCGAAGAGAAAACAGATGATGGTTGCAATGCCGGAGAGATTGTCGAACGGAAGAGCCATAGAGGTTCCGTAGGGTGAAGGTATTTCGGCTATTTCAAGTCTGACAAAAAACAGAGTAGCGTGCACTGTAAATTGTGCCGAAAGCAAGTCTGGAAATACAATAAACTGGTGCATGCGTCACACTGTGCGCCACGTTATTGTTTCGGTGAAATGAATTTCTACAATACTGTTAATTCTACTCTCTGCAGTGTTTAAATGCTTACATATACACACAGTTACTGTCCGTCCACACATACGACTCGGTTCTGCTTCTATGCCGCAGCTTTGTTTACTTTTTCCCACCGAGGCTTCTAGACTTCTGATTGGCCAACATTTCTGCACGGTTAGGAATCTAGCGCCACCTGCTGCTTTGGCATGTTCATAGCAGCGTTTTCCTTCATTTCTGCCTTTATGTGTGGACGGGATTATTTTTTAAAACGAAAACGGAAAATCTCCGTTTTCAAAAATACCCGTGTACGTGTGGACGTAGCCTCAGTCTCTGACTGGAAGCGCTAATTCGTCATTCGGCTTTTGTCAGACTAAACTAACTGTTAAAACTGTTTGAAAAGCTCAGCTATACAACAAGGAGAGATTGAGAATTTCCTTTTAGTTCTCAGTTTATTTGATATTGACAAAAGTTAGTCAGTTTTGTCTGTTCTTCTGTAAAACAAACTAAGATTTATTTTTAGAATTAATATTTTGTTTCTAAGTGGAATTGACAATTTAGTCTGTTTCGTTTGTTCTATTTTGAAACTTAAACGCTTTAGCGGCTGCCTTTTGTGTAGTTTGCAATATTTGCCTTTATTTATCTGAAAAAGTCTCATGTTCCTTAAGTACATCTACCCTGTTGAACTTATTATGGGAAATAAATATTTAAATAAAAACAAGCTGCTGATTATTTCACATTTTACTTGTGAGCAACGGCACATTTAAATCTTACAAATATAGTTATTTGGCTTATATCGTGATATATATCGTTATCGCCTGAAATGAAAAAAACATATCGTGATATGAAAAAATCTCATATCGCCCAGCTCTACCATCACATCACCATCACAACCACCATGACAATCACAATCGTCACCATCACAGCCACCATCATCAACATCATCATCACCATCATTATCATCACAATCATCACCATCACAATGACCATCAGGATGACCATCATCATTGTTTCTATTACATTGAAGTAAAATCAGCCAGTTAAACTCAGATTTGTTGCGTTTGGGTGTAATCCGTCGGGCACAGCTGTCTCCAGCTGTTTCTGTCAGTAAGTGAGGAACGAAGGTCTGCCTGTGGAAATCACACCGCCTCAGTGTATGGCAGCACCGGCTGAGCTTTAATAATGCTGTAATAATGTTCTAATAATGTTGTAATTACCTGATATTAGCTCAATAAGAAGCTGCAGCTTCCCTCTGAGAGGGAGAGGAGCACACACTGACTGAGCGCGCTCAGGGACAACTCTCTCCTCTCTTCCCCTCCCTCTTTTCTAATATTTCCCAGAAGCCTTGGCTGCAGGGGGAGATAATCCCTGAGAGATGAGTAGAGGGAGCGGTGGCGGGAAGGGGGGGGGGGGGGGTGGGGTGATCCTCCAGCGTGGAGTGCACTCTCTTCTTCTTCTCCTGCAAGGATTACAGCGGCATTTGAAACATATTTCACCGCGACGCAGCAGCAGAATGAGGGCGGGATTATGGTGTTACTGTGGAGGGGTGGTGTTAACGCAGAGGGGCGGGGTGTTAAAAGATGGCGGAGCACTGATATTGTTGGGGGTAAGCGGCAGTAGCCCAGGTGATGCTGAAGTGATGCTGATACGGTGGCAAGTTTGGGGGGGGGGTTAATGGAGGCAGAGTGGAGGTGTGAGAGGCTTAAGATGCGAGGCCGCATGGGGTGGAGCCAGCAGAGGTGAAGGTTTGAAGGAGATCATAAACACTGTGAGCGCAGAGCAGCCAGGAGAGGAAAACATGGAGATGTGCAGGGAGACGTCAGGACCTGCAGTTCCACTAATGTCCACTAGGTGCTCTGACCCAGCCTGTTCACATGTGTAAAAGATTCAAAGAAGAGCATTTAACGTGTCATCACCGCGCTGACATCAGCAATCAGACGTCAGGTGACTCAGTATGCCGTCGTGTTGACAGCAAGTATGAGCAGAGCCAGTGACACAAGTGACACCTGGAGACTGTAAAAGTTACTGCCCCGTCAGGTGAAGCTGTGCTCCTATTGCTGCTGAGTGCTGCACACCTGAACAGGTGCAGAGTTCTGGATCCTGTTAGTACGGACACTTTCCTTCTTCTACTCCAAAATTTGCCACTTCCTTCCATCTTCATCAGGTCTCATCACTCCTCTGCTTTCCTGACGGCAGTTGCCATGGTTACTAGAGCTCAGCTGTGCTGCTGCAGGCCTGTTCCCATGGTGACCACAGTCTGTCAGATGAACAGATAAAGGTTTTTCAGATCTGCGAGCAAATCAGGAGGGGGTGGAGCTTCTGAGCCCGCCACCCGCACGCGGCATGCTGGCAGCGCCGATCCTGCTTTCCGAGCCCCCCTTGGATTGCCCCGTTCTCTCCCCCCCCACAGAGACCGGTTTATGAGTCTGGGTGCATTGTGGGTAATAATTCTCTGTGGGTCCTGTAATAAACTCTGTGAACTGAGCGCCGATAATAATCACAGCCAGAGACCGCAGGAACACCTTTTCAAAGTAAAAGTCCAAACTCTGATGCCCGTAATCAGCCCCCAATCAGTTGTTCTGATTGATTATTTACCAAGTCTGACTCAAACTGGCAAATCTGAAGGGAAGCCTCTGAATGTGATACAACATCATCTACGCACAGGCGGCTCACCGTCAAAGCCAGGTTCAAAGGTCACAGTGAGAAAATACAAACATTTACAGAGATGCTCTGAGTTTCTGTGCTTGCTCTGACATCACGAGAACGATCGTTTAAAGACCCCGCCCCCATTGGGACTGCTTGGTCAATGTCAATAACAGCAGAGATGGCCTGTAAAACAATGTTCCCGCCATTTGGCCACCATGACTTCAGAAGACTGTACACAATGATGGCTGAAGCAGCCAATCAGGAAACGTGACAAAAATGATCACTAGTTGATGAATGTGTGTGTAAGGCAGTGTGTGTGTGTGTACGGGTATTAACATCTTTGTGGGGACCAAAAACTGGAAGATTACCATACCTTGGGGGCAGCAGTCTCCAACCTTTTTTGCGCCACGGACCGGTTTATGCCCGACAATATTTTCACGGACCGGCCTTTAAGGTGTCGCGGATAAATACAACAAAATAAAACTAGCACCGGTACCGAAAAAAAGAAGATTTATTCATAACACACTTGAAAAGACCCAGGAAAACCGAGTTAACGATAAAAATGATAACAAAATAACGCTGAAAACCGATAAAAACCCTGAAAACCATACATTTCACACCTGAGCCTCAACTCTCGCGGCCCGGTACCAAACGACTGACGGACCGGTACCGGTCCGAGGCCCGGGGGTTAGGGACCGCTGCCTTAGGGGACCACAAGGATATAAATACACAAAGGGACAGGGAGTATGACTCTGTCCAGCTGTTGCCTGATGTTAACCTCCACACCAGGAGAAGAGGAGATGTCACCCAGGTGTGAGCAGGAGTGTGTAGTGTGGGGAGGGAACACACCTGCAGTCTACCTGTGTGGCTCATTTTAATATCAGTGTGTCCATCAGAGGTGGTCTGTAAGCCACACACACACACACACACACACACACACACACACACACACACACACACACACACACACACACACACACACACACACACACACACACACACACGTGAGTAAACAGCAGGTGTTCAGCAAACAGCGTGTCGGCTCGTCTCAGTCTGCTGTCAATATTTGTGTCTCTGTTTTCACCGCATTCTAAATATTCTCGTTCACATTCAAACTCAAATATTTGAGGTCTGAGCACCGTAACCCGGGCAACCGGGTTAAACACGCCGCTTAGCAACGCTGCTGTCAGAACACGATGACGTAGAGAAACCTGCAGCTCGCGTTTGTCACATGACCACCCAGATTTATGGCACAGGGAGGAGACCCTGCAGGGTCACATGACTGCTCTTAAGAGTCTGTTCTTATTAATAAGCGGGAATTTCTCGTGAAGACCCTCACGGTGCACTCAGGATCATCACGTCAGTCTGGATGACCTGCCAAACCAGAACTGGGTCCAGTCTGGCCCGAGTCATTAAAATCCTGCGTTGGCTGACTCTGTTGTGGTCACGTGGTTTATTTCAGCAGCTCGAATCGTATAAAACATTCAGCTCGGATTGAGCAGAGGGAAGTAACTCCACTCTGGTCTGTGACACACCTGTAAGAACACACCTGCGCTAACAGAGTCTTACTTTACGTCTGCTTGTGTCCACTCACAGCGGAGGAGTCGATGCTGAGAAATCGTCTGCGAGCTGCCAGACCTTCACCTCTGATCAATAAGTCTGATCGGTGCGCCTCTTTTGTGAACGGATGACAAACACAGGTGTTCGCCCACTCTCTCGGAGCACACAGGTAAACAGACTCACCTTGGCGGTAGAGCTGTCCCTCTCCTCCATCACGGCCTTCATCTCCTGAGCTGTGATGTCACTTCGCCGTTGCCGTGCCAACCAAAGACGCTGGACCAGAACTGAGCCGAACTGCTCGATTTCCTGGACGGAGTCGGCGTCACAGATGTGCCGCAGGAGCTCATCCACATCCTAAAACGCACACGGAAGGAAACCGATCAGAACCTCAGACAACCACGAGAACCTGCGGTCATCAACACGCTGCCAGCGTTTACCTGATCGCCATCGTCCAGGTGGAAGCACTCTGACCTGACAACACACAGATGGACACATGTTAGACTAAGCGGTGCTAAGTCTCAGCGGCAGGTGAAGCCCTGAGCTCCTATGAACAGGTCAGCCCAACATTTTTAGCAGATTTAATTTTAGTTTGAGAGAAAAAAACTGAGCATCAGTGTTTTGGTCTCTCTGGCTGCCATTAGAGTCGAGTCAGAGCTCGCTGATTTCTATCATGATGAGAAAAGTTCATATGTCTCTAAACTCGCCGTCATACAGCAACCGTGAAACTAACGGGTGGAGCAGGAGGAGCAAAGAGTGCCCATCCTCTCAGGTAACGGGTGGAGAGACAGAACCACAGGAAGGCTGGTTGGACTAAAGTGGAGGAGACGGCAGGACAACAACGCTGTCCCAGAACACGGAACATGTGGAAACAGCTGCAGATGATCCTGAACACACTTGTTCATCCTCAGAAGACCACCTGAGTCGCTCAGCTGACTAACTTCATCAGGGTTCGAGGGCGTGTGTTCATCCAAGCCACCACCCTAAACCTTAACGAGTAGTTTTAATGTAACACGTGGTTACTTATTTGGTTAATGAGTTAATGATCGCCTTCTACATCTGTTTAGTTTTTAGCTTTTGGTCTCTAAACTGGAAATCTGACCCTGCAGGACAGGGCAGCGTTGGTGGAGAAGCCACAAGATCCAAAGTCTTATTGTGACAGCCGGACTGGTGAGAACCGGCAGAGCTCAATGCTCCTGCAGGGTTCTCGGGGTCAGAGTTCAGCGGACCCTGGATGTAAGCCTCCTGAAGCTGGATGTTTCTGGCTCTCTGAACACGGAAAGGTTTCAGGGCGCTCTGCCTCCATCTCTGAAACACAATATTTCCTTTTCTCTGCCTCTCTTTATGAAATGTGATTTCGGTGTTCAGGTAGTCCCGAGTTCATTTCTGTGCAGTGAGTCTTAAATAAAACAGCGTGTGAGGAGCAGCTGAGGGGGCTGAAGCGGCCTGTAATCGGGCCCTGTAAGGCTGGCGGCCCCCGTGTTTTCCCGCCGCTGACCAAATTAAAGCCGCCGCAGCCTGTGAGATGACCCGAGCTCCTGCAGCTGGGCAGTAATTTGGTCCTCGCTCCCCAAAGCCCACCTGAAATCTGCTGTCTTCGTTGTGAGGCTGCGAGGGCGTGGGTTGGGCGGAGCTTCGTGCTTGCTCTCAGCCTGACGGTGGACGTGCAGCTGGTAACTAGCTGATCCGCGCTCTCCTCCTGGGAAGCTCTTTCATTTAGCCGGCTGCTGTTTTCTGTAATAAACTGTAATAAGGTGGCCGAGCCGCTCGTTCCGCGGGGAGCAGCAGGTAATGAAAGACCGGCCGCCTCCAATAAAGCTCCTCTAACACCCTGCTTACAGCCCATCGAGCCCGGCTCAGCCCGGCTCGGCTCGCTCCCCGTCATTAACACTCCCACACAGCTCGCCTCGACAGAAACACCCCGCCGCCGCCGCCATTAGTAGGATCAGATGAGAAAGAGAATTTATCACTTCACAGAATATTTCTGAGAAACGTCCCAGACGTCTGAGAGAGGCCTGCTTCGGACCTGAGGGTCAGGACCCGGCGTCCATCTTCATCCACAGGTTCAGGGACCGTGCCTGTTTCACGTCAAATTGATCAGGCGGCGGTCAGGTCGCTGAGCGCCGTCCGAGGCCTCAGCCGAAGCCCATTTCTGTTTGACTGCACCATAATCACATTATTCATGCACACACACACACACACACACACACACACACACACACACACACACACCCTGAGTCCTGACAGATGGAACATGCTCCTCCATATTCTGTCCCTCATAAAAAGGATTGTGGCCTCCAATATCAATTACCCTCTCATCCTGGGGGGGAGGAGGTGGGGGGCGAGGGAGGATGGGGGAGCAGGATGAGGGGGGATATTATCTCTAATTAGATTTTCTGCTCTATTTGGCTGCTCCTCCAAGACGACGAGAGCTCATTTCACAGCCCTTAACAGGACTGAGGAGGTGCATAATGAGGAGGAGGAGCAGCAGGTTGCTCCTCCGTCAGCACAGCAAACATGTTTCACATGTAAATAAAAGAACAAACAGATTCTCCTCAGAGGAGACGACAGCCGCTCTGTTTATGCAACAAACAGAGCTGACACAAACCTCGCAACATCCACGGTTCCTCTTATTAATCATTACAGAACCCCCGCGTTATTGATCGCTGTGATCAGAACAGCCAGAACTCTGTCTGCCTCCAGCGCCCCAAACATCCCGACATATCCGCTTCAGCACCACCCGAGGTGGAGGCCTCTTATCCACACATGTGGCTTCAGCCAGGGTGTCAGGCCGTCAACAGGGTTCTGCTCTTAGTTCTCAAGAGTTGTACTGTAGTTCTACAGGGTTCTACTATTGGTCTACTGTTGGCCCTAAGAGTTCTACTGTCAGTCCTTTAAGGTTTTATTGTCGGGCCTCAGTGTTCAACTGTTGAACCTCAGAATTAGATTAGAGTTAGAGTTCTACTGTTAGTCCACGGGGTTCTACTGTTGTCCCTTTAACTTTAAAGCTGCTTTAAATTCTTCTCAGGTGATAACGAACTTCAATCAACTGACAGGAAATGATGAAACTTACTCAGCCGCCTGCTGTAGTCGATGCAAACGAAGCAAAGCCTCGTCTCTCTCCTCATTGGCCAGCAGGAGTCGTGACATCACAGCCTGATCTCTGTCCTTCTGAGCTGCCAGCACCTCCTCCAACACCGCTGAGGAGACAGGAGGAGGAGGATAGTTTGAGGATAAATTTCAGTAAAAGCAGAATCTTTTTTCAGTGTCTCTCCAGATTGATGGACCAATGAGAGCAGAGCTCATGATTACCACGCCATGTGTGTGTTCAGGGGTAATAACACAGAGATGACCACAGTACTTCTGAGACTCGGTGCACAGAAAATTAAAGTGGAGACTCTGCTGGTTATTAAAGTGCACCAGTTCTCTGGGTGGGAAACTTTTTACTCTGGACAGGTCAGGTCCCACCTGATCCTTCTCTCTCTGTATTTTTATACTCCATCTCTTTACTGGGAATGATGGGACTACACCATCACCAGAGCGGCTGTAGATCTGCCACACTGCATGCGCCTGACCCTGGGAGCTTCATAACCTCCAGGTGAGCTTTGCTCTGTTAGCTGTTACTCAGGTGTGAAGCACACACGCAGGTCTTTCAGCTGCTGAAAACATACATGACATACAGAACATACAACAGACAGGCGGCCGGACTGTGTGTGACGATTTCACTTAACGGTCAGAGAGGGCGCTGATGAAAAAATGACCAAACAAAAAGTTTCTATTGTGATCTGGTGGAGGGAGCACTGTGTTACTGTGATGATCCTACCAGATGACACACTCAGCTCAGTTAAATCAAAATCACACGTGAGTGTGATTGCTGGTTAAACACACACAAACACACACTGTTCTGTTAAACTAACAGCTGCCACGTTAACTGACATCTCATTACCACTGCTGTTGTTTTAATTAGCGCATGCAGTCGTGTGTGTGAGAGAGTGTGCATGGAAAATATTCAAATATTTAAGAAGTCGAGTTTGGATCCGATCTGATTAAGAGGAGAGTAAACTGTGACACTCTCCCTCCTCACCTGCAGGTCTCTCCCAGTCTCGGGCCTCCCTCCGTTTCTCCCTAAGCTCCTCCTCCACCTCCCTCCTATGCAGCTCCTTCTCCTTCTGAACCAGCTGCTGCTGCAGCTGAAACACAAACACACAAACACCTTCTGCTGCTGCTGGATACCAAACATATGAGGTGACTACAACTCCCATCATGCACTTTAGCAAAAAACCTCCAGTGAGTGAGGTTTAGACCCAGTCAGTAATAATGTAAGGGGTTGGGAACACCTGTGTGTGTATGTACCTTGTTGTTGACCTGTCTCAGGGCGTCGAGCTCCTTCAGTAACAGCGAGATGTTTTTGTCTCGGTCGGTGCTCGGAGGCCGGGCTGATGCAGAGCTGCAGCACAGAGATGATGTCATCAATGACAACCAATCACAGATTAAAGAGCTGTAGGTCCCGGAGATGTTTGTTTCTCTTTAAAGACACGAGTTTACCAAACTCATCTACACACAAAACACACACAGTTTAGCTTCCTGTACTGCTGTTAATCTCAGCGTACGTTTCTGTGTGCCTGACTGTGTGTTAACGGTGTCCCCTTCAGCGTGTGGCGTTGGACGACTGAAAGCCTCAGCGGCGCACACAGCGCTCTGAGACATCACTCTCAGGTACCTGCTGTTTCACACCATATTAAAATATCTGTAACGGCACTCGTTAACATGTTTTAAATGTGCTGCACTGAAGGTAAGCTAGTATTTTCCACACTGTGAGAACATTAACTAAAAACAGAGAAGTGTTACACATTTATTGGCAGCATGTCCTCGCTGCGCCCGCAGCGGTGTACATCCAAAACTGACGGCGGCGGCACCTCGCTGCAGTTTTGGTTCAGTGAGATTGAGTGGATTTCGTCACTGCGGCCAGGCCAGCGGCAGGAGCGTATGAGCAGGTCGTCTCTGTGTCGATTAGAGAGAAGATGAGACGCTCTGCGGAGACATCTGCTTCGTTTCCTGTTCCCACTTCCTCTGGACGTCCATCGCAGTGACGGTGAGTGCAGTAACAGTGGGCGGGTAAATAATGCGTCTGTCCTCCTCCTTCAGGTTTGTAATAAAGCAGATCTCCTGCGGATGGATGCTGAGCTCCACCTGAGCCGTCACATTCATCCACAGAGACCACACAGTCTAGAAGGCCATCTCACTTTAAGCGCGCTTAGTGCTGACTCGACGTTGCTCTCGATGGATTGGTGGGCTGCATGTGAGCAGGTACATCTGTGCACCATCGGCTCATCACCTGGAGATCTTTTGGTTTATCTCAAAACTTTTGGTTGTCCGACACCGAGGAGCGCGTTAAACCGAGCGGCTGTTTTTTACCGATCTCATGGTCGGAAGTTCCTCAGCAGCTGCTCGCCACTCTGCGAGGCTCTCGTTGGTCAGGGCTCAGCGTTTCATTAGTGTTTCACCTGTGTGTAGTGAGGTCAGGTGTTTTAACGGGAGGTCGCGGCCTCACTTTATCAGATGTGAGGCTGCACGCTGCAGCAGCAGCAGGTTTAATAAGCAGCGGCTGATGTTCGCCTCTAATTCTCTCATATTACCTTAAAGGTCAGGCTGCGTCGTGGCTTCGTAATAAAGCGGGTAAATAAGACGCTGAGTGTGGCTCACTGTGTCTTCTGTAATTGACTGTTTCTGACTTTATAACATCAGCTGCTTCTAATCAAGCCGCTGCTTTTACTATCTTTCTATTTTGGTCTCGCTCCCACTAATCAAATCAAATCTAAATTTAATAGCTCACATTTCAAACAGTGATGCAACTCAAAGTGCTCCACAAATTTATTTCAAAATGCATCAAAAGACAAAAGAAGCAGGAAAAATGACAGAATCTAAAGAAAGCAGAGGAAGTTTAATGAAAAGCAATAAACTTTTTAATAAAGCTCACTGTGTGGGGGCTCTAAACATATCACATTAATCCGTTCAAAAAGCACCGAGAATACGGCAGCATGGAGGCTCCAATATCGGCCACGTTATTACTGACACGTGTAATAATCTATAGCTCGGATACATCTGAACAACTTCTCACAACTCCAGCGCTAAAAACCTGAAACTTTTCCACCAGACTCTCTTCAGAGCAGGGCCCGCTCTAACATCTCATCGTCGGCACTGCTCCCACTCACCTGTCCACAGCGGTCACCAGGTGTCTGCTGAGGGAGGGGCTAGCAGGATCTCCGGGTGCGCCACCTTCATCTGCAGTATCTCCACAGCTCTTTGCCCAAGGAGAAAGACCTCTGCTGGTCGAAAGGTCCACTTCCATCTCTTCTGCACCTCCCAGGCGACTGGAGGATAGCGGGGACACAGACTTCCTGCAGGGCGGAGGTGACAAAGGAGAGGCGGACCTTCTGTAGGATGGAGGTGGAGGGGAGCAGGAGGTCGACGGCTCCTGCAGGTGCTGTGGAACTGACAGACAGGTAAGAGGTCACTTGCAGGTGAATATTTTACATTTCCTGATCAAAGAGTTCAGGAATCAAAGAGCCCAGTGATCATGATCAGTTTGTTGGTCCGACATTCAGCAGCGTCTGCCTCACGTCTTCAAATACGAATTAACCCAGAGCATGACGGGACTTCATGTTGGCTCTAACTCTCCCATCAATAACACACTGTGAAGCCCACATTCATCACACTCCAGTTCAAAATGCATGAAAAGTGTAAAACAAACACTAAACAACGTATCTGAGGTAAAACTGTACCTATGATGGGGGTGGATGTTACCTCGAGGCCAGGTGTGGTGGTCGTAGTTCAGGTTGGGGCTCAGGCTGATCTCTGATCTGTGAACATCAGAAACAACATGAGGTGACTTTCGCTGACCTCTAAACAGCAGCAGCGTGCGCGATACGGACATGATCAATGAGTCATCACAGGGACAGCTCAAAGACAGAGAGACCGAGATGGTGGAGGATTAATGTGGAGGATGAAGGTGGAGCTGCAGACAGGAGAAGCAGAGGAAGAGCTCAGAGGTTCACGAGGAACGTGGATGTTGGAGGAGGACATCCAGAGGGCTGGAGTGACAGAGGAGGATGCTGGGATTGGAGGAGATGGAGGTAGATAATCGGCTGTTGGTGAAACTAAACATTCAGCTGCAGCTAACCTCCAACATCACCTCCACCCTCAACCATAGCCTGACAGGTACTGCACTCACCCGTTGGAGCTGATGAGCTGGGTTCTGATAAGTGCAGGAAGACGCTGTCGCAGCTCCACGTTCACTCTGGGATTAGCTGGACAAAAAGGAAGCGACAGCTAAAGCAGACAGACACCAAAGACCCGCCTGTGCGAACACCCGCCTGTGCGAACAACCGACTGTGCGAACAACCGCCTGTGCGAACACCCACCTGTGCGAACAACCGACTGTGCGAACAACCGACTGTGCGAACACCCACCTGTGCGAACAACCGACTGTGCGAACAACCGACTGTGCGAACAACCGACTGTGCGAACACCCGCCTGTGCGAACAACCGACTGTGCGAACACCCACCTGTGCGAACACCCACCTGTGCGAACAACCGACTGTGCGAACACCCGCCTGTGCGAACAACCGACTGTGCGAACACCCACCTGTGCGAACACCCACCTGTGCGAACAACCGACTGTGCGAACAACCGCCTGTGCGAACACCCACCTGTGCGAACACCCACCTGTGCGAACAACCGACTGTGCGAACAACCGCCTGTGCGAACACCACCTGTGCGAACAACCGCCTGTGCGAACACCCACCTGTGCGAACAACCGACTGTGCGAACAACCGACTGTGCGAACAACCGACTGTGCGAACGCCGTCTAATGAATTACTCAGAGCTGTAAACACACATTAACATCATGTCCCTCACCCTCTCTCTCTCCCCGCCTGTCATGTCCCTCACCCTCTCTCTCCGTCTGTCATGTCCCTCACCCTCTCTCTCCGTCTGTCATGTCCCTCACCCTCTCTCTCCGTCTGTCACTCTCTGTCTGTCATGTCCCTCACCCTCTCTCTCCTTCTGTCATGTCCCTCACCCTCTCTCTCCGTCTGTCATGTCCCTCACCCTTTCTCTCTCTCCCCGTCTGTCATGTCCCTCACCCTCTCTCTCCGTCTGTCATGTCCCTCACCCTTTCTCTCTCTCCCCGTCTGTCATGTCCCTCACCCTCTCTCTCTGTCATGTCCCTTGCCCTCTCTTTCTCGCCCACAGACCTCTCACGGACCACCTGACCCATCCACGACCCCGTACTGGGAACAAGGAGAAGCAAGAAGCAGTGCGGGAGGATGGTGGCAGGATGTTCTTTCTGTGAGCCTCTGCAGACTGATCAGACTTACAGCAGAACCAAGAAAGGACTGAAGCTTTCCCCTCTGATGGGTGCTGATCAGGCCCTTCGTGACCTCTGACCAACACCACTACTGTCTGCACAGCTCTCACTGTGAGCTTCTCGGGTGGAGGACTGTAATCTTCTCCAGGGGTCGAGGACATCAGGTTACTTCCTTTGAGCCTGAAACTTTTCCCGGAGAGTTTCTTGGTTTTGCCTGCTTTTAGTTGCCTTTTAAACATTTTTCTGACACTTTTTTCTTTTGTATGTTTGCTCCTGCAGATCTGTGAGTGGCCCGATCAGTAAGGAGGACGATTATCTGCTCCTGAGTGTGAAGCAGCTAAATTTCAGTTATTTCTGAATAATTTGTTCACTTTGAAACTTTTCTCATTTCCTGCCGTCCTCCCCCATCCTCCCCCTCTCTGATCTCCTTGTGGACTCAGAGCTAATTGAGCCGCCGGCTCTCCTTATTATTCATGTACAATTACAGATGTGATAATGTGCTTAAATCCTTCTAAATGACCGTTCATGCCTCGCGCTCGCTTTGAAGTCTCGTCAAAGATGGAAAATCTGCAGAAAAAAGGGAAAAAGCAAAAGCCAATCAGAGCGCCAATCTACATTAACCAATGAGGCGAAGAGGGGGGACACGCCTCCTCCCGCCTCCCCCCCTTTTTCTTCATGTAATATAAACTCAAGTCCATTAATTTTTTAAGCTGTTTTTAATACATTTTGTGCAGAAAGTTTGGAGCGCTGAGTGTCGGCTGCTCCAGCTGACTGCATGAATATTAATGACGGTGTTACGATGATTAAAGAGGCTTCAGCTCAAATCCAACACAATCCGCTTGTGATCCGGCCCGCCGACACCACACCGCCGCCACACCGCACATGAATTTAGATACGGACATTAAGCCGAGGAGACACACGGCGAGCTGGGAACGCTCACGCACACGCGTGCAGAGTAAACATGAAGCCAAACACACTCCGAGATCAATCGATCAGCAGGAAACCTGCTGCTCTTCAACAAACGAGCGATCAATAAAAGTGAGACAAAATCGCTCCTGTCGATCAGAGAGGAAATCGACTGATCAATAACCAGAGAAAATACCTCATGGTCATGTGACCTGATCATGTTTTTCATGAAAATTATTCTTAAAACAGGTACTGCCTTTCACAGTAAACTGAAGGTCTTTTTGTTCTGAGTAAAATCACAGTCCACACCATGCAGGTAGCACACCTGCGCCCTGATCTGTTTCCTGTTACAGGACAGCTGATAGCAGTCACTCGTTCTCAGTTCAGGAAGAAACGGAGCAAATGTCTCAGATTTATTTGGTTAATCTGGTCCAGGCGTCCGTTTCCTCTGACCGCAGCAGGCGTAACATCTGCTTCTCCTACAAACAGAATCCATGTTTCACTCCAGTCGCACTATTTTAATTATTCTGCACTTTTAATTCAAGCAATTTCTTGCTTGAGCTACATAGCCCCCGTTTACTTCCAGTTTTCTTGTCTTTGATTTTTAGTCTCCGGCCTCTAAGCGCTGATCAGTAAATGCTCATTATTTGCATTAAATCCTGGACGTCATCTAAATCATCCTGCAGCTCCGTCACAATTGGCTGTTTCCTGTCCTTCATCTTGGAAGCTGCAACACTACGAGTGCAGCAAGAAGCTGGTAATTGATTATTGATTATAGCACACAGGGTTGAAAAGGCCACTTCTACTCAAGAAGTGATGTCATTTAAATATATTTAATGTTTTCATATTTAAGTTGACAGCGATGAACCACTTTTATGTGACTCAAACTGAAATTATCTTCACACACATTTATCATCACCTGAAGATGACTCCAGGTGCAGCTGTACGATCTGCTGACCCCGGCACACACAGAGACACACACACACACACACACACACACACAGAGAGACACGCTTACACACACATACACACACACACACACACACACACACACACACACGCACACACACACGCAGACACACACAGACAGACACACACACGCACACACACACTATGGTCAGTAGATTTAATTTATTGAGAGAAGAGGAAGACAAAGGCTGAGTGTGGCTGAGAGGGAATGAAGAGCAAGAGGGAGGAGACAGTCGTGTGAACAGTGTTTAATCTGCAGAGTGGGTGGTCCACGGACACGCACACACACACACACTCAGTTTTATTGTTGTTAGATGGGTGGGCTGCAGACTCTGGTTTGTTTGAACAGGCTGAAGTAGCTGCTGCTCTCTGTGCAGGAGTGTCTGTGTGTGTGTGTGTGTGTGTGTGTGTGTGTGTGTGTGTGTGTGTGTGTACGAGCGCTTGTGTGTTTCTGTGTGTGTGCGTGCATCCGTGTGTGTGTGCTCACGCTGGCATTTTATAACATTTGCCTTGTTTAGATCTAAATTGTGATTCCTACTTTGAGCAGAGCTTTTATTTTGACAGTGTGTTGCAGCTTTACCTGTAAAAACACTTCCTACCTGCAGGTGGCGCTCCACATTACAAGCTGCTGAATTAATCGACAAATGATTTATGGAAAACTACTGTTACTGATACAGCTCAGGGGACCAACTAAAGACCAAAGAGCTTGTAAAGCAACAAACGCAAAACAGAGGATATCGCCGCATCCTGACACGCCAAAGACACAGGAAGTAAGACGCCACCAGCGCAGTGTGAAGCCCCAGGCTGATGATGTGATGGAGGGCTTCCTACCACACACACAGGAACAGAAACGGGCCTCAAAATCATCTTCATCTTCTGAAACCTCTGAACAACCAGACGGTTGTCATCTGCTTTCGCCCTTTCCCACATTCCAGAACTTGGATGTTGAAGGGACATCACTCAGGAGTTAGCGTGTTCCAGAAAAACAATTACATTTTTTTGCTTGATGCACACTCAAGGATTCAATCCTAGAAAAGGGTCTGGACGTCGTGTTTTCAGGGGGAAAACAGTCGCATCCCTCATCAAAGGAACTGAAGAAGTCGCTTGTGGCTTATTTAATGAGTCTCAAACACCAGCGGAAGTACAGGTTCCCAGTTCTAACCTCTACTTCCTGTGGGGCTGCTCCAACTTCCCAAGCGGGAAACCCGAGTTGAGGGGGTGTTTCACAAAAGATTTCCAACTTTCTAGTCTTATGGAGGAAGGTGCGTCTCCCAGCAGAATAAAGTAACACCTCTACTTCCTGTTTAATGTCTAAATTTGGTGGTATGTTTAAACGTTTTGAACTTTCAGAGCTTTGTTTGGACATCCTTTCACATTTACAGGATTCGTAGCGTTTTGACCATGTGCAGGTAAGTCATCACTTGTTAAACTTCAGGTTCTTCACGCGACCTGAGCTGCAGGATCCAGGTGACCTCTACGTGTGGTTCACAGTAGTAACACCTTCACTGCCTCCTTCATACGTCCTCAGTAACCTTTGAACTCAAACATGTCCTGACTTGAACCAGATGCTCCCTCTGTGCTTCTGCTTCACCTCCACAGCTGTTTTAAACATCTGGAGCTCTTAAACACGAGAGAACTCTGTGAGCAGCTTGCGTCAGATTATTGATCAGTGAGAGGCTGAAGGAGCTGAAATCTAATGTGATGAAGATCAGAGGTGAAGAGGAGGTGTCCATGAGTGTGCAAGTTCAGATGAGAGGATGAAGAAGCAGTTTGGACTCTGTTTTAATAAAAGGAAAAGAAGAAGCTGCCCTCACGCCCTTGTGTTCAGCTCATTGCCGCTCCCTACTGGCTGCCTCCTCCTCCTCTTCTGCAGCTGACCTTCATCACTTTTCTCTACTAAATCACAGAAAATACAATCCCACTTGGGTAATGAAGTCTTCCTTCATTTTAATCCAAACCTCTAAGGTTTAAGTTAATCTGACCCTTTGTTTTCACAATACCTCTAAAATCTGCCCAATCAGAAGACTGAAAAATACAAAAACCAACCAAACTTCACGTTACTGGTGAAAACCTAAAATCTGCCCGCAGCTCCCAAATCCATTATTGGCCTCGACAGGCACCGGCCGCAGACTTTATCATCACAGCATTTTTATTCTCTATTAAAGAAATTCATACATGTAGTCCACATTTCGACTTCAACCCATCTGCTTCTGAACCGCGTTCAGAAGCAGAAAACCTGCCTGATGATACAGCTTCATCATCATCCTCACCATCAATCGTTACACCAATAACATTAATAATAATAATAATAATAATAATAATAATAATAATAATAATAATGGATTGCATTTAATACCGCTTTTCAAGGTACCCAAAGCGCTTTACAGTTCCACTATTCATTCACTCTCACATTCACACACAGGTGGAGGCAGCTACGGTTGTAGCCACAGCTGCCCTGGGCAGAAGCGAGGCTGCCATATCGCGCCATCGGCCCCTCTGGCCAACACCAGTAGGCGGCAGGTGAAGTGTCTTGCCCAAGGACACAACGACCAGGACAGAGAGTCCGGGGATCGACAGTAACACTAAGATTCAGCAACATCTTTTCTCATTTTCATTAATCAGCAGCGCCGACTGTTCATCATCATCATCGTCACTGTGTGAGTGAGGCTCCTGGCACCACAGAAGAAGAAGTAAACAGAGACGCATATGGAGGCACCGGGCGACTGAATACTGTGTTTGTTTCCTGCACAACTGTTTCACACGCAGAGTTTGATCTGAGCGAGGACGCCGACAGACGACGGATTATCACCACGGGTGGGGGTGGCGGGGGGTGGGGGTGTTGATGTAAAAAAACAAAACTAACTGCAGCTTTTCTTTTTCTTCTCCTTCAATAATTCAAGCACACTCTCTCAGCGCTTTAAAGCATGAGGATAATCCCAAAGACGATTTGGGTTTAAATAAATAAATAAATAAATAAATCAATAACCGATGGAGGGCCAGCGACCCCGGTGTGCCGCTCACAGACTGTAAAGAAAGTCTGGATTTTGCCATGGTGATGTCACCCACTCGCTCGCTCTAAACATGCCTCTTTTTGCTGAAGCGACCTGCCCGCTGAAACGTGAGAAGCGATCACGTCAAACACTTCCTGTCAGTCATGGAGATGAAATGAGTGTTGCCTTGGTAACCAGCGATCACAGCTGTCACTGATCTCCAGCAGGTTTCATCCTCTGTGTTAACACGAGCCTCTCAGCCGATGTCTCACCGCAAACACAAAGTCCAAATATAACATGTCCTCGAGACACATTTACACAGCAGATTACTGAGCGTGCTCAGCAACCATGAGGAGGACGCTCTCAGAGCTCGGAGGACAGCTGATTTTGAACAGGACTCTGTCCCTGTGAGCGGCAGCAGGGCTCTGATGTGAAGGAGAACAGCTCCCCCTGGTGGACATTTGCTGACATCACCTCGGGACCTTGGGCTGCTTCCATCAGGCTTATTGATCATCAGATTTATTGATCTTTGTGTCATTTTTCGGCACATTTTCTGGTTTTATTTCACTTTTAAAAAGACAGACGGGTGTTTCAGACGGGTTGAGCTTCACTAGAATTCGGCCGATTTATTTTATGGGACCAGCAAATTTGCATCAAACTCATTGATTCAAAACTCAAAATCATCAGCATGTGAAACACGAAGCTCAGGAGATGTTGCAGACAGGACGTCAACTTCCTGTCTAAGCGATGGGGCGGGGTCTGATCAACGAGCACGCCTCACTGAACTGATCACAGAGGTAGGTAGGGACCACACAGCACGCAGCAGAGGGCCGCCAATGACCCGCCAGCCACACTCTGAACCACTGGTTACCCTGCTTAGTAGTAGGATTTACAGTAATATTACCTGTGTTCACATATAGTATCTGTGGTATTACAAGTAGTATGACCTGTGTAGTATCTCTAGTATTTACAGTAGCATTACCTGTGTACATATATAGTATCAGTAGTATTATGGACGATCCGGGGGTTTCTCTGTGAATGTCACGTTCCCGTGGCAGCGTGCTCGCTGCTCGCTCAGATTTGAAGTTTCATTTGTCGCTGTAGAAGTTTTCTTCCCACGCAGAGTGAACAGCGGACGCTCATGTTTCTGTCACTTTTTACAGAATCCAACTCAAAGTAATGTGATTACTTCCACGCTTTAAACGCTGCATGGTCGTACTTTCTCCATCACTCCATGTTATCCATTGTTGATCTGCACACGTCTGTTACCACGGACGCCGCACGCTCGTACGTCACTCACGAGACACTGACAAACAAAATCACGGTTTAGTAACGCAGTAACACTGCGTGCTCATGGGAAAGTAACAGTAATCTAATTACTTTTTTGCAATAGTAATCCCTTAGTTTTTTCAGGTAACGAGTAAAGTAATTGAATTACGTTAGTACTCATCTTTTATTATAGGTGATATTACCTGTGTAGTATCTGTAGTATGTACAGTAGTATTACCTGTGTACATGTCCACCAGAGAGTCCTGGAGCTCTTTGCTGGGTGTCGTTGTGGGCTGACTGGTCTCTTCTGGACTTTGTGATCTGGTTTCCCTGGAAACACAAATACACACTATCAATCACCGCTGTCATAGTTGCCTGAGGTTGGGGGATGGAGCTAAATGCAGCCAAACAGAGAGCCACAGGGAGCATCACTCAGGGAACCAGAGTGACAGGGAACCCTTTTTCCTTTAGTTTTTGTTTCAATAGAGACACATTTGAACAGCACACCTCAGCACTGGAGAAAAAAACCTGCCCACCACACCTGAAGCCAGGTGACTGTCCACCAACTCAAACATTTATATTGTGACCTGCAGCAGCAATAAAAACTGATTTACAGGTTTGATGGATTTTCTACTGATTTATTGATGTTATTGGCAGTGTTGGGGAGTAACGGAATACATGTACCGCCGTTACGTATTTAAAATACAAAATATGAGTAACTGTATTCCGTTACAGTTACCGTTTTAAAAGGTGGTATTCAGAATACAGTTACTTTGTTGAAATAAATGGATTGCACTGCGGTACTTTCCTGTTTCATTTTGTCGCGGGTCAGGACTGTTTGGGTTTTGTTTGACAGCTACGTGCTGTTGTTCCAGGCGCCAGCGTTACGGTTGCCATGGTTACAGGGCGACGCTCTCTCTCTGCGACTGTGTGTTTCCTGGGTGAGAGAGCGCCTTTTCGTTGTTGTTGTCCTTGTTGTTGTGCTAAGCTAACAGGCAGAATGCTACAAGCATAGCTCTAAAGAATGTAGCATCATGGGCAGTGTAGTCCGTGTTGCAGGGAGAATGGACTGCCATACACGTTATGGGTCTGTGAGCGCGAGGAGGGAGAAAAACGGGAGTGGAAAGGTACGAGTTGTCATCGAGGAAAAACGGGAGCTGGAAGCATGTAAATATAATAATAACCACTTCAGCCAAGAAGAGTGCCTGACGAGCCCAGTTGTAAGTAAGCTATTAAGACTCGACTGTACACCGTGTTCGTGTTTTCCTCCGAAAACAATAAGTTCCGTTGGAGCAGCCTTTCAACGCCTCTCTCTGTCTCTCGCAAGAAAAGTTGACCCACACAACAAAGTAAAGCTATTTTTCGCCTACAAGCCGACAGGGACCCCGCCGTATTAGTCAGAGGTCCCTTTACTACAGTTCGGAGTCGCGGACCTTCAGTAATAGTAATAAATCACACAGCAATAGTACATTCACGTTGTTGTAAAAAGCATGATAATATATTAAGTAATCCAAAGTATTCAGAATACGTTACTGTCATTGAGTAACGTAACGGAATACGTTATTGAATACATTTTGAGGCATGTATTCTGTATTCTGTAATGGAATACATTTTAAAAGTAACCTTCCCAACACTGGTTATTGGTTCATTTCTTAGAGCAGCTCAGAGTGACTCGTGCTTTCTGACCTTTAAACAGGAAGTAAAGTCTGATTAACGGTAACAATGTCAGAGGTAACGAGGTGACCTCCATCAGGTAAAAGAACCTGACTGGTCATTCCTGCGGTGGATTCCCGTGGTAATCAATATTCTCTCCACGTGAATCGTTTCCCTTATCAATACACAGAGCACAGCTAGCCCCTCTCTCCCTGTCAGCAGCTCCAACAGCCAATCAGATGGCTCCTTCATGATCCAAACCTCAAGGCGGCACCGCCAGTCCCTGGAATTATTGATCCAATACAGGTTTAACTTGAATTCAACTTTTACAGTTAGGCGTTCAACTCTGGACCTAATCACTAGATTATCACTTATCAATTACTGATCGATCAGTTCAGCCTGTCTGACAGATTATTGATCACCGATCAGACAGTTCTTACTTGAGTTGGAGCTGCAGCTCATTGATCTTCCTCTTTGCCCTCTGCAGAGCAAACTGAACATCTGCCGCTCTATGCGACGCCATCGCCACAACTTCACCTGCCTGAGAGCATGCCTGAGGTCTCCGTTGTAACCAGGTAACACATCGAGGAGGAGCTGAGCTGTGATTGGCTGACAGTTATGTGAAGGTTAAATATTGATAAGGTCACGGGATCGGGTGACTCGAGAAAAACAGGATCTGTTTCACAGTGATGTCACAGTGAGGCCTGCTCTGATTGGCTGTGTAAAGATGACACAGTGAAGCCACATATTTCTTAATCACTTGTGTTTATTGCTTATTTGTGAGTTATTGGCCTTCGGCATCTTGCAGCAGTTTGTCCAGCAGGGCAGTGTCCACACGGTGCTTCATCACAAACTGACCATTCAGGTGGAACACAGGTATGTCCCACCTGTACCTGTCCCACCACAGCCGGTTCTCTGGGAGGCTGATGTCCACCTGCTGCAGGACCAGCTGACACACACACACACACACACACACACACACACACACGCACCCACGCACACACACACACACACACGCACCCACGCACACACACACACACGCACACACAGGTAAAATACGTGGAAAACATACAGACTTTCTTATCAATACTATTGTGAACATGGCAATCAATCACATCCCAGTCTATCAATAACACATCATATATCAGCCTCTCAGTCATCACTGATCAATCAGTAACGTCAGTTCAATTAACTTTAAACTTTATTAACAACAGTTTTATAACAAGCTTCTCACCCGGTGTCTGAACGGCTGCAGCTGCTCTTTGGCTTCATCACACAGAGGACACGGATCCTGCAGAAAAATGTGAACTTTATTGCTGTTTTCCCCCCAAAGCGTAGTAATAATACATAATCTGACTGGTATTTAAAGGGTATAATATCTGAATTTGAATTATATTTTGGTTTTAAAAAAATCAAGTCAATGAAAGTAGAAAAATGTTTTAATATATATGAATTTTATAGCATTTTGTAAACATAAACAGGGGGTGGACATTTTTGGCCACGAACAAGCTGAGAGGGAGTTTTGTTGTTTTTCTGTCACTGCACAAAAAAAACAAAGATGCATAAAACTCATTGATACGTTTAATTATTGCTACGCATCTAACCTCCACCATGGTTAGAAAATAAATCAGTTTGCATGTATTATTTAGAAAAAAATGGGGATTTTATTCCTATTTAATTCATTACAATTATGTGATTTAACTGGTATTTAAAGGGTTAAAATTCTGAATTTGAATAAAATTTAGATTATCATGAACAGCACTGATGCTAATCTAAAAAATTCAAGTCAAAAAAGTGGAATTTTTTCTTAATATATATGAATTTTGTAGCATTTTGTAAATGTAAACAAGGCGTGGCCATTTTTGGCCACGAACAGTTTGAGAGGGAGTTTTTATGTTTTTGCTCTCCCTGCACAAAAATAACAATGCATTATAATCAGTGTTGATGTGAATCAATTACATGCCCCAGACTCTACTATTAATAATACAAGAAATTTCAGTAGCAATGCAATTATATAAAATTGTGAGATTTGAGGTTGTCTTCCAGCTAGTGCAGTGGGCAAATAAACTGGTGTTTAAAGGGTTAAAAAGTAATAATTATTTTATATTTATGAAAAGAACTGAAGTTAGTTAAAAGCTTTATGCAGAAAAAAATTGGAAAAAAAAAAACATAAAAATAATAAAAATTACAGACTTAATCTGTTGGTGGCCACTTTTGGCCATGAACAAGCTGAAAGGGTCGTGATTTTGAACAAACCCAGAAGTCCAGACGCTTTTCTTTCCAAGCTCCTGAGACTATGATGTTAATGTATCGAACAGGTGTGGGCGTTACCTTGGTGAAAAGTGTGAGAGTGGGTAAAGTTCTAGTGGAAAACAGTCGGAGCTGCAGGGTTGCAGGTCCACAGAAACTCTTCATCACAAACATTTCATCTGAGAACACCAAGAGAGACACAGTTACTGACCTGCATGCAGCTGGGCCTTCAGAGAGCAAACACGTCCTCACAGAAACCAATCACAGGTTCAGCAGGCAGCGCGTTTGTGCACGCCACTGTCCTCCACGCTTTGGTATCATTTCAGCCAATCGTGCTGCATCTCAATTTTCATGAACGACGTCGCTTACAGCTGCACAGTCACGCCAGTCTTTTGTATCATTTCAGTGATACATCAGTGCCAAGTCTCAGAGTACTGGGGTTACTCAGGTTACTGAGGTTACTCAGGTTATTACTCAGATTACTGAGGTTACTCAGGTTATTACTCAGTTTACTGAAGTTACTGAAGATACTCAGATTACTCAGGTCACCCAGGATCAGAAATGGGCAGTAACACGTTACAATTAAGGCATTACTGTAATTCGATTATATTTTTTTAAAGTAACCAGTAAACTAGAGGATTGCTATTGCAAAAAAGTAATTAGATTACTGTTACTTTCCCATAAGCACGCAGTGTTACTGCGTTACTAAACCGTGATTTTGTTTGTGAGTGTCTCATGAGTGACGTATGAGCGTGCGGCGTCCGTGGTAACAGACGTGTGCAGATCAACAATGGATCACATGTCGTGATGGAGAGAGTACAACCATGCAGCGTTTAAAGCGTGGAAGTAATCACATTACTTTGAGTTGGATTCTGTAAAAAGTGACAGAAAGACGAGCGTCTAGGGCTGCTCAATTAATCGAATTTTAATCACGATTACGATCTGGGCTTTCAACGTTCATTAAAAATGACTGAGCCGATTATTAGCCCCTCCCTGCCTCGTGCTTTACTCTCGCGCTGCTCCGTGTGGTAAATCGAGCGCACCTCTCTGCATTTCGAACACGCATCACAACAATTAAGAGGACCCGAGGGAAGCTTGGAAAGCTAAGCAGAAGTTATTTGGAGAGGAGAGTGACTGCCGTTGGTTGAAAAGCGAGGTAAAAAGAAAGAAACTTCAGTGGTGTGGAAACATTATGGGTTCGCCTTTATAAACTTTGCTATGGTGTAGTAGCTGCACCACAGGGCAACACTGCAAAGTTCACTAAACATAGATGTGTACATTTTTCATTTATTTCTTATATTGCAAACATTTGCACTGTTATCAGTATTTGCACACTATTTTATATTATTTTTTAAAGTCATTGTTCAATACATTGTTATTGTTAACCCTTTAAAGCCGGTCAGAGCAGCACACTCCGTTTTGTGTAACTATTTTTAAATCCCTGTAGAACCTGAACCTGTAAGCTAGCGCAATAATTTTTTTTGCATATGAAACCAGAGGAGTTGTACTTACATCTTATGCCATCAGCTTGCCCTCGGTCACGGTTTGCTTCCACATATAGCTTTGCAAAAATTGCATAAAAAGCACTTGCGGGAACAAAAACAGACACACGTTTTGCCGATCCGATCAGCTGTTCGTGACACTTCCCACAGTGAAAAAGACGTCAGCGCGAACTATCGCGTTTCCTGCCCAAAACCGGAAGTGACGTCATTTTCGCGGAAAATGTAGTTTTTTACTTGTAGGCTTCAAAAGCCTATACTTGTGTTTTTATAAGCCATGTTTGACTTTTCTGAATAGTTTCTGGGATGCTTAGAACTCGAATTGCACTGCTGGAAATAGTTTATTTTGATGCACCTGCTGTTTTCTTTGCAAATTTGCATCATATCATAAAATTGTTTTTTTGTTTTTCCTGCAGTATATAAAAATTGGTGTATCTCCAAAATAAAACTATGAAGACACTCAAAATAAATTTCCTGTTGTTGTAAACTATTTTTTGCAACTTTTTAAAAAGTATTTAAAGTTTTGAGGGATAAACCTCTTAAATTTCTCCAAGAAGAAATATATGTAAAAAACAAAACAAAAACGATTTTCAATTTTTTTTGTAGTTTATTGCACTTGTTTGCAATTAATGTAGTTACTATGGACTTAATACATACATATTATTAAAATATGGGCTATAACAGTTGTATTGATGTATAGCAACTTGAAATGCTCCCACAAATGGCACTACAACATGTAAAACAATAATATAAGCTCTGGCGCACTTGGTTCTATGGTAGGTCTTAAAGGGTTAAATAAATATCGTCATATAATCGTGATCTCAATTTCAGTGAAAATAATCTTGATTATCATTTTTACCATAATCGAGCAGCCCTATGAGCGTCCGCTGTTCACTCTGCGTGGGAAGAAAACTTCTACAGCGACAAATGAAACTTCAAATCTGAGCGAGCAGCGCGCACGCTGCCACGGGAATGTGACATTCGCAGAGAAACCCCTGGATCCTCCCACTGACATGACCTCTGTGGGCAAACCTCCACCCGCCCCACTCCTGCTCAACAGCTGACAGTAGATTTAAGAACTGCTGAGTCTTTGATTTTATTCATTTTCTGCTGTGTTTTACTTGCATCTATTTGAAAGAGTGCAAACACAAAACGTGATTTTATACGCTGGAATATGCAGAACATAGCTTTAAATGTTAAACATTTCTTCCCGTCAAAGACAGTTGAAATAATTTAATTTGTGCTTGAAGCATAAAGTTAAAAGTTTAAATCGATTAAAACAATTTTAAAAAGACACTTTTTCATTTGATTACATTTTATATGATGGATTATACAGAAAAAATAGAACTGGGCTGAAAGATCTATGACGTTATTACGTATTCAGGTTGTGTATCAAGTTTTAAAAAGTAACTAAGTAATGAAGTAACTAATTACTTTTGAAAATAAGTAATCAGTAAATTAACTGGATTATTTCTGGTGAATTAATCAGCAACTAGTATTTAGTTACTTTTTTTCAAGTAAATTGACTCGCACTGCTCAGCATACTCAGGATATTCAGATTACTCTGAATAGTAATATTACAAAGGATACTCAGATGGAAACTCCGCATGAGAACACTTTCCTGAGAATCTCAGCAGTCGTCAGCTTCATCATCTCAGCTCATGATAAAGTTTTTCCACATTATTTTAGTTTGCGCGCGCGCACACACACACACACACACACACACACACACACACACACACAGCATTACAGACCAATCAGCTGCCAGCGCGTCACACAAACGCCTCACTGACAGTTACACCTGTCTGACAGGTAGAGCCTGTTCCTTCCTGTCAGCTTTTAAACATATTTATTCGTATTTTGTTTTTACTTTGTTGTTTTACTTATATATTTAAACACACACACACGGGTTTTTTTTTGTTTGTTTTTTTACACACAGATCACACACCGTGCCGCTTTTTGTGTTTATTTTTATTTTATTTTTTTCGTGAAATCATTTCTAAAGTAACTCAATCGCTTGTCG